TCTTTTATGATAGCCCTCTAAACAAGCCCCAGCACATTGGATAATGTTGCTCACACCTGTCTAATTTCATCATAGGTCCTCTGCATATCAGTAGTTCATTGATATTGTTATTTGGTTAACTAGACAGTGGTTTAATGGAAAAAGAATTATCACTGGAACTCAAGACTACAATTTCAGTCATTCACTTAGCTGTTTCCCCTGCATCTGTAAAATGGAAGTAGTTTTACCTCTTGCCTACCTGAACAGTTTTAAGTAAAAATAGTAGAATAGATATAAAATTGCTTTAAAAAGACTCTTTTGAATAGTGTTTGCTAAATACAAAAATCATTAAATCTGAGCTTAAAGTTAACATATAAGTTATTTCTTAGTAAACTTCTTACCAATGACTATGGACTTGCAAGTCCATGAGCAAAGCATAGAAATTTGTTCAGATCTAGCCCTGCTATTCAATAAATAGCCGGTTCACTTAAAAAAAAAAATAAATAAAAATAAATAAATAAATAAATAAACTGTTCCCTACACTGAGATAAGGACATTTTCTGTTTTCCCCCTTGAAGTATTATGGCTTACCTTTCACATTTAGGCTGATTTTGTGTGTAGTCTGAAGTAGGATATAACTTCCGTTTTGTCTGCCTGCATAACGAGGTGCACCAGTCCCATTTAGTGAATAGTCTCTCCTTTTCCCAGTAATTTGCAAAGCTACTTCTTTTTTGTGGCAAATCCCAAATATGGATGGGTCTGTTTCTGGAGAACTATGCTCCATTTTTCAACTTGTCTATTTGTGCAGCAGTACCATTCGCTGTCTTAATTATCAATTAATGACAACCCTTGATATCTGATAGGGTAGGTCTCCAGCTTCTTATGGCTCTTTATGAATATCTTGGTTATTCTTGGGGAGTTGCTCTTCAATATAAATTTGAGATTCAGCTTGACAAGTTCCTCCAAAAAAAAAAAGTAGGCTGTTTTTTTCCAATGGTATTGAATCATGATTATCAATCTAGAGAAAAGGTACATCATTTCTGTAGCATGTCGTCTAATGAAATTCTTGAAGTTGCTCTTTTAAAAGTATTGAGCATAGTATATTATGCTTTTCACATACCACTGATTTGGTTTGCTAATATGTTCTTTAAATTATTTACACTAATGTCATAAAAGATATTGGCTTATAATTTCCCTCTTTCATTAATTGTCTGCTTTGGTGTTACAGTTATATTGACCTCACAGAATGGGCTGGATAGTGTACTTCACTCTGCAAATATCTATCTGTTCTTTCATAGTTTATAAAAACCATCTCAGGATAAAGTTTTCTTTATGGGAAAATTTTTAATTACTGACGCAATGTCTTTGTTAGAGTACTATTGGCTATTTCTTCTTTATTTAGTTTTGGGAAATCATATTTTTCTAGCAATACTTGTATTTCACATGTTTTCAAATTTATTGGTCTAAAATTATATTTTATTATACTTGAAAATGTCCTGATGTGTCTCTTTACATCTCATTTCTCTTTTTTTCTTCATCAATCTCTCCAGAATTTTGTTTTTTTCCAACAACCAAAGTTTGGTTTTGTTGATCCTCTTATTGTTTCTCTCTTTCTACTCCACTGCTCCCCTAGTTATATCCTTCTTTCCACTTTTGCTGAGATTATTCTGGTATTTCCCCTTAATTCAGCAAATTAATTTTCAGCCTTAATTCTTTCATAATATGAGCTTTAAAGCTATAAAATCTCCCTACATACCACCAAAGCTATACCTCATATGTTTCAATATGTTATATTTTCATTTTTTCAAGTCAAAATATCTTTAAATGTCCAGTATGACTTCCTCTTTAACCCATAAGTTACTGAGAATATAATCACTTAAAAAACTGTAAGAATTTCTAAAGCTCATTTGTTATTGACTTCTAAATACATAGTACTCAAAGAAGATTGTGGTGACACTTCTTCGAAAGGTGTTGAGCTTGGCTTTATGGACTACTGTGAAATCAATTTCTAT